ATGCAGGGCGGGGGCGGGGCTCCGGGGAGGGGGAAGTGGGTGGGGCGCCGCCGGGAAAGGGGCGGGCCGGGAGAGCCTTGGGGCCGGGACAGCGGCGGCGGCGGCTGCTGGGCAGGCGCGTGGCCGGGTCCGGCGCGATGAGCGGGGCCGGAGCGGCGCCGGGGGTGGCGGACGCGGTCCGGGGGCTGCGGGTGGACGGGCTGCCCCCGCTGCCCAAGAGCCTGAGCGGGCTGCTGCACTCGGCGTCGGGCGGCGGCGCGTCGGGGGGCTGGCGGCACCTGGAGCGGCTGTACGCGCAGAAGTCGCGCATCCAGGACGAGCTGAACCGCGGGGGCGCGAGTGGCGGCGGGGCCCGGGCCGCGGGGCTGCCCGCCAAGCCTCCCAACCTGGACGCCGCGCTGGCCCTGCTCCGCAAGGAGATGGTAAGGGGAGCTCCGCGGGCCGGGGCGGGGGGTGTTCCTCCGTCCGGGCTCGCCGTCCCGGGAAAGTTCGCCGGGACCGGTGCTCTGTCCGGAAGTCCCCGCGCCCACCCGCCCCTTTCTGGCTCTTTTGCCCCAGGCGCCAGCGCCGAGAGAGGAGCACTGTCCTCTCAGCAGCCCCCTTTTACTAGTCCTCTCTGTTCACGGTGGGACCCTCACCTGGGGAGGCTTCCCACTGAAAAGGCAGTTTTCGGAGCCCGGACGCCCCAAGTCCGGCCCCAGCTGGCTCGGAAACTGGCGGCGGGAGGCGCGGCGTGGGGTTCACTCGTGGCCTCGCGGCGGGCGCGGCTTGGTCACCCCTCTCCGGAGTGAAACAGACCTCCCGGGTCGGGGAAAGGCTTTCACTGCGGCGGCGGGGTTTAGAGCTGTGCGCGATTGTATTTTTCTGCCTTGGAGAGGACAGTTTTTGTCCGCGCGAGTGTAGACAGCAGATTGGAACGGCCCTCGCCCCCTCCCCCGCGCCCCAGGCGGCGCGTGCAGAATCCGATTACTGCGGGATGGCTTGGGCCCCAGATGGCTGTGAAGGCGAACGCTCGGCCCCTCCCCTCTCAGCGCGGGGGGCCGAGCCCCCAAGACCGCTTGAGAAGAATGGAAGGGGTGCGCTCCCCGTCTGGGTGAAGCCCGTGTGGGTTCTTCGGGCTGTGTGTGCGCGCCAGACAATGGGGCTTAGTCCTTGGGAAGTACATTTGATGTGTGTGGACCGGGAGACACGATTTCAGGTGACGCCAAAAGCAGGACAAGGGCAGGGATTTAGGTGGCATTGAGCCTTTCTACAGCTTTCGCCTCCAGGCTTAGGCCAGGCTAGCTGGTAACTGGAAAACTTCCTCCTTTCCGTGCTCTCGCTGGCCCCTGATCACCTGCCCCTGATCACCTACCCCTGGCCACCCGCTCTCTTGGAATCTGCCCCTTCCTTTCTCTTAGTGCAGGTTCTAAGTACAGGTAAAAACTTTACTAAGGAAATCTAATCTATGAAAGCTGCTTTTTTCCCTAAGAATAAATTTGCCAAAAAGCTTATCACAGAAACCCTTTAAATATGCATCTAGTACTTTAAGATATTGTTTAGAAACATTCAATTTATGCCTCCTTGTTTTTTCAGGAGCAAATCCATTCTGAAAAGTAAGACAATTAAATCTAGAAAAGCAGCCTTAAATTAACATTTTTAAATCAATTAGATATTGTCTTCCCACTCTAGCTGGCATTGAAATTGTGATTTCCAATGCTCTCTGAATAGATTTTCTAAGCTTCTTACAGAATGACTTAAATTCCAAGACAACCATTTTTATTTATTAATAAACATTAATTGGCTCAGCATTGCACAGCTGAGGAGCTGTATTTTAATTAGATAAACCTACACCTAGTATGTTTATGGTCTGAAGTTAGATGTAGCCTAAGTATGGGAATGAAATGGGAAGGCTCTTCCTGGGTTAAGTCCCATACTGGAAGAGACAGGAAACCCTCAGGGCCGCTCCTATTGTGAAACTCCGGTTTATAACGTGCTCTGGTGGTTTGGGAGTCAATGTGCCATTCCCGAAAGTATTTTTCCAGGTCCCTCCTGGTGCAACTGCAGAACAGCCACAACCTTGTAATTATGCCTTGGACCACAGAGCACTCTCTAAGCCTAACCGTTTGAAGCACAGGGAAAATAAACAGCCATCTTTGGTCCGTCTGATATTTAGCTGCGAGACAGATAAGGAAGATATGGCTACCGGCCTTGACAGGTCCTTTCACAGAATGTCACAAGGTCTTTTTTAAAAGTGCTGTAGGTCTGTTGGCTTTAAGAGATTTACTAACCTGGGGCAGCAGGGTCTGAGTGGTAACCGAAGCTGAGTTCATTCCTGAATTATCTGTGGAATAGTTTGTGTTGATCTATTTAATTGGAAGGCCTGAGGTCAAATCCGTGTCAAGGGACATGCTAGCAGGTCGTGGCAGAATGTGATTAATCCCTTTTTGAAAAAGTCCTGTGCAATCACAGATTAATGCGATTAATCTTTTTTTTTTTAAGTCCTGTGCGAGCAGTGGTGGTGTGGGAAGGCCTCTGAAGGCAACAGAATTTTCTTTTTCTTTTTTGCAGGAAAGGAGCAGCAAAGCTGGAATAAGGGAATAGCGCCAGTGTGATAACAGGCCGTAGAAAGAGCGGGAAGTGGGAGATGCCAGATGTATGCTTGGAGAAGGGGAGAACCTCCAGCGGGGTGGGGGCCAGTGAATGGGAAACAGGAATCCAATGGGGGGCACTGCTCTGATGCAGAAAGTGCAGGAATTGCCAGTTAACTATTCAAGGCTGGGAGGTGACTTCAGCATTTTTATGGAAAGTGCGGCTAAGCAAAACAATTAAAAATTACTCACAGTCCAAGCACCTAGAGATCATCACTGTTAATAGTTAGGGAAATCTCCTGTGTAGGCACAATGGGAATGCTTTCTATACATCATAACTTCTCCGTGAGATGGATACTCAACGTCTATTTTATTTATTTATCTATTTATGTATTTATTGTAGTATAGTTGACACAGGATGTTACATTAGTTTCAGGTGTGCAACATAGTGACTCAGGTCTGTTTGTTAAGGTGTGCTCACCACAGGTGTAGCTCCCATCTGTCACCATACAAGGCTGTTACAGTACCACTGACTATATTCCCTGTGCTGTGCTTTTCATCCCTGTGACTTATTCATTCCAGAACTGGAAGCCTGCACCTCCCATTCCCTTTTGCCCATTTTGCTCATCCTCCCTACCCCCGTCTCCTCTGGCAACCATCGATTTGGTCTCTGTATTTATGGGTCTGTTTCTGCTTTTTGTTTGTTTGCTCATTTGTTTTGCTTTTCAGATTCCACATGTAAGTGAAATCATATGGTATTTGTCTTTCTCTGACTTATTTCACTTAGCATAATACCCTCTAGGCCCATCCTGTTTCATATATTTTTTTAAAAATCACTCAGAATTTAACTCCCCTACAATCACATATTCAACCAGATGTGTTCCAAAGCCCTGTGTGTGTGTGTGTGTGTGTGTGTATGTTTAAGATTTTTTATTTATTTATTTGAGACAGAGCACAAGCATGGGGAGTGGCAGAGGGAAGAGGGAGAAGCAGACTTCTCCCGGGGAGCCTGGCACAAGGCTCAATTCCAGGACTCAATTCCAATTCATGACCTCAGCCACCCAGGTGCCCCCCAAAGCCCTGTTTGAACCATTTCATTATACTGCCTGCATGTGTGTGCACTCACACAAACACAGATACACACGGATTACATTATACATCCTTATTTGCTTTTTCGGGGACGCATAGTGCAAAGGTTTTCCTAGTCAATACACATTATACTGTGTACAGTAACTGTGGTATGCCACTGTGCGACACGGTAATAACCTTGCAAAGCCATCACTGGGAAGGTGAGCTTCATTGCAGCAATGGCGGAGTCAAGAGGAGTGGCTCCTTGGGGGAATGGTGGTTGGCCGTTACATCAATGGAGGAGTATGTCACACATTTAAGAATGAGGAGCTGGAGGCTGGGAAAGAGACTTGGGCCTGGTGATACACACTTGAGGGGTGGCGAGGGTGGAACCCGGGGCGGTCGGCATCTGGGCCTTGTGAGGGCACAGGGTGCCGTCCCGTGATTGGTGGCGCTGTGCTCTCCTTGAGAATAGTGGTTTCCACTGCACCCTGCATTTCAGCACTTCGCACTCAAGAAACCCCTCTTCTGTGAAGCTAGGTGCTGCCGCGGGTCCCCAGCCCCTGCCCCAGTGGGCCCATTTGGAAAGCCATGAGGGTCACACAGATGGTTACTGCTCTCTAGACCGGAAAGGATCCTTTAAAGCAAGAGGCTGAGTTTGTGTTGTTTTTTTTTTTTAAACATCAGATGATATTTTAAAATCTCACTCCACAGATGTTTAGGGGGTGTGCGTTAGGTGTAAAGTGCTGCGGAGATAACAAGGATGAATGGGAACTCTCTAGCGCCTAAGGAGCTTCCACCAGCTGGTAGATGTGGTCATTACAGCAATGGGAGTGCTGTGGTTCAGACCTGTTCTCAGTCTTCTTGACTGGAGGCTCTGTATTAGTAATCATAACTCAGCGTGAACTAGCTCTTGCAAAAGGAGAATCTTGAAGGGCTGGACATACACAGAGGCAGGCTAGAACCAGGGCTGACGGGGCCCCCAGAAAGTCCACTGTAGGCTTCTCTCTCCCCCAGCATTTTGTTTTCCTACTTCTTTGCACCGTAGCTGCTAACCGGGTCAATGCTCAGGTTTGGCCATGCTTCTTAGTTCCAGTTTGTAAATACTGTGTGGAAGGACGCCGGTGGGCCCAGCTTGGGTCATCTGGCCAGTCTGGGCCAGCTAGCAGTGACTGAGAACAGGATTGCATTTTACCGAGATAGTGTGACCATGTGGATGGGGTGGGTGTGGGGGTGCTGGGGATTCCTGCAAAGAAAGGCCAGTTTGCAGAAATAGAGCAGGGGGCTGCTGGACAGCCAAACTATTAGATACACACACCTCTTCCTACGTAAAAATACTTTGCCCTGAGGGGCCCCACAGTTTGAAAGATTCTTATCTGCTAAGCTGACAAAGTCACCTTTGCTCAGGAGACCTCAGTTGGCATTTCAAATCCTTGCACGTGACTGAAGCATCAGCCGGGACCCCTGACACATGCGTTCCTTGAAGTTTGTACATAGACCACCCACCTAGCAGCTCTGTGACATTAGCTCATCAAGCTTGGATACCCCAAAGAGTCACAAAAGCACAGACAGAAGATCCTCAGATATTGCGGGGAGGGCAGCATCCCCGGGGGTTCTTGGGTTTTGCCTCTCAAACCAGCAGGGGCAAGTTCTAGTAGCTTTGACTTGGACCCCCTTTTTTTTTTTCTTAGAACTGTCAAGTAGTGGGGCACCTGGGTGACTCGGTGGGTTGAATGGCCCACTCTTGATTTCGGCTCAGGTCATGATCTCAGCGTTGTGAGATA